GGAGCTCTGGTACCGCACCAGAACAACAACGAAGAGGTCGTCAATCGTTTGCAAGAGATTCTTGAGTACATGCGTGGAGAGTTCCGAGCAGTGACAGAGGATGCAAAAGTGAACGCCGCCGCCAACGGACGTGACACTGAGCAGATTCTGGACGCTACTAAAGACGGTCTGGAGAAGCTTCGTGCCGACATGGAAGCGTATGTCAGTCATCTCAGTGGTGGCACTTCCGGGCAGGAAGAAATTACCCAAACCCTTCTCGGCACATTAGATACCTTCAGAGACGAGATGGCTATGCTGGTCGATCGCGTTTCGAGCGATTCCAGGTCGACAATCGAGTCACACATGGAGTCACTACGCGACACCGTCAACTCCTCCATGGTGCCGGTCACTCCGCAAGTCAACCAGAAGGAGATCATCGAAGCCCTGAGAGATGGAATTGACAGTGTGCGTGGCGAGTTGCGCCGACCCTTTGCCGGCGTCACGGACATTCTTGACGCTCTTCACGATGGCTTGGCCGATCTGCGCATCAGTATTGACAAGGTCGCGAACCGACCAGCGGACCTCACAGCCAACGATGAGGTCCTCGACGCATTGAAAACCGGCCTGGACAATGTTCGCTCAGAAATCGATGGTCTCCGGGAACTGCAAGGCCAGAACGACAAGGCATTGACGACCATGCATGACGGCGCCGTTGTGCCGGTCCCGGCTGATGTTCTTAAACAGGATGACATCAAAAACCTTGAGGTTCTCATCACTCAGCTCCGGATCAAGATCGAGGCCATGGAACCCGCGAACGCCGACCCTGTCGCCAAGGACGATCTCACTCGTATGGAAGACATGCTTCGTTCTCTCCAGGAATCTGCTTCCAAGGACGACATGCTCCGTCTCGAGGACATGCTTCGACTCGTACAAGAGTCGGTCTCAAAGGACGAGACTTCCCGCATCGAAGAGGTCTTGCTCAATGCCCAGAGCTCAGTTACCAAGGAGGATATCACCCGTCTGGAGGAGGCGATTCTGCCCATCCAGGAGTGGGTCAAGTCCAAGGAGAGCCCGGTCAGCACCGATGCTTCAACGAAAGAGGATGTCCAAGCGATTGAAACTATCCTTCGTAACACTAAGGGTCGCCTGGACGACCTCATTGACAACGAGCAAGCCGTGCGAAAGGAGCACCTGGACAGCTTGGAGAACACCATACTGGAAACCAGAGAAGCTATAAATCTCATCACTACGCAACTGGATACTCTCCCGAAGAAGGATGACGTAACATCCGTGGAAGCATTGGTTACGCAAGTTGCAGCAGGCTTCGAAGAAATGAAAGAGAGCGCTGCCAAGCAACTGGAGGATCCCGAGCGAGTTACCAAGACTGACGTCGAGGCTGTGGAAGCTGCCTGTCACGATATCAAGGACGTGTTCGATCAACTGCTGAAGACGGAGATCGCCACCCTCGTCACCAAGGAAGACCTGAAAAGGACAGAGACGACCTTGGAGGAGCTCAAAGGCCCCCTTGAGACCTTGGTGGTCCTGGAGGGACTCAAGGAAGGACTGCAAGAGGGCATCAAAGCCCCATTGGATGAATTGAAGACAGAGCTTAAGACGGAACTCAAGACCCCGATCGAGGAGCTCAAGACCCCACTCGAAGAGCTCAAGACACGACTTGACTCCCTCACCGAGTCCCACGACAAGGGAAGCGAAGAGCGTCAAGCCGAGATCGTTGGCGTTAGCGAACGCGTCACTGAAGTCAAAACATTCCTCGAGGAGTTCCAGGGCTTGGTCAAGGGCAAACTCGAAGAAGGTGCCACGGGAGTCGAGAGCCTTTCAAAGCTGCTCGAGGGTGTGTCAACAGCAGTGGAGAACAACGCATCTGTCCACCAAGATCTGAAGGATCTCTCCGATACGATGAAGCTAGAATTCGAAGAGTCCAAGGCCGCCGTAGTCGGCGCTAAGCTGGAGTCAGACGAGAAGTTCCAGCAGACCACTGATGCATTGAGCGCCAAGATTGAGGAGAAGGTCACGGAGTTGATGACCAAGTACGACGAATTCCACGTTGCCCTCGACGACCGCGCAAAGGCTGGGGAGGCAAGAGATGCCAGCACCGAAGAGGCAGTTCTGGGTACCAAGGCTGTTGCTGAAGAGCTCAAGTCTCTCGTGGACACACTTGGCGCTGCTGTTACCGACTCGATGGAGAAGATGGAGGAGGCGTCCAAGACCGTCTTCACCAGAGTTGAGGATCTCATGACCAAATCTGAGGAGAACCACACAGACGGAAAGGCCGATCACCAGCAAACTCGGGACCACTTGAAGCAAGCTGTCGACGCTGTCGAAATCATTCAGGGACAGCTTGTTGAATCCCAACCTCAGATCCTGGAATCCATCAAAGATGTCTTGCTCATCGTTGGCCAGCATTATGATTACGCCAAGACATCAACGAATGATATTCAAAAGACAATCGAGGATGCCAAGCCAGTCGAGCTCGCTCTGCCACCAATCCCCGACAAGTATGACGACACTGTCGTTCTGGAGAAGCTTACCAAGTTGATCGAGCATTCCGAGGTTCCAGTCGAGAAGTACGACGATGCAGGTGTTCATGAAAAGCTTGACAAGCTCGTTGAACATGCTTCTGTTCCTCCCGAGAAGTACGATGACGCGCCAGTACATGAGAAGCTTGACAAGATCGTGGAGCATGTTTCCACTCCAGCGGAGAAATACGACGACACGCCCGTTCATGAGAAGCTCGACAAGCTTGTAGAGCACTCTCAAATACCAGTAGAAAAGTACGATGATGCGCCGGTCCATGAGAAACTTGACAAGCTCGTTGAACATGCTTCTGTTCCTCCTGAGAAGTACGACGACGCGCCAGTCCATGAGAAACTCGACAAACTCGTGGAGCACTCTCAGATACCTGTGGAGAAGTATGACGACGCGCCCGTTCACGAGAAACTTGACATGCTTGTGGAGCACTCTCAGGTGCCTGTTGAGAAGTACGATGATACGCCGGTGCATGAGAAGCTTGACAAGCTCTCTGAACAGCAGTTGTTAATCCCGACGGAGAAGTACGACGACGCAGTGGTCCAGGAAAAGCTAGACAGGATCGCTGAGTACCAGTCTCTGCTTCCGACCGAGAAGTACGACGACGCGGCAGTTCAGGAGAAGCTCGACATGCTTGCCTGTGGGCAGTCATTGATCCCTACGGAGAAGTACGATGATGCGCCAGTGCACGAGAAGCTGGACAAGCTTGCCGAGCAGCAGTTGTTGATCCCAACTGAAAAGTACGACGACACAGTAATTCGGGAACAGCTTGGAGTTCTGGCTGAACAACAGCTGCTGATTCCGACTGAGAAGTACGACGACGCAGCTGTGCAAGACAAGCTTGACAAAATTGCCGAGCAGCAGGCATTGATCCCCACCGACAAGTACGACGATGCCGCCGTTCACGTCAAGTTGGACGAGCTTGTTGATCATAGCCATGCTGCTGAGAAGGCCTTTGGTCAGCTCGATACTCTTGAAAAGGTCCATCAGCAGGTAATCCAAACAGCCACGGACATCTCGCTCTTCCTTGCAAGCCAGACCAAGAAGATCAAAGAGGAAGAAGACGACAGAGAGCAGATTCTCCAGGAGGTGACCATTGATCTCGAGCGCAAGCTTGCCCTCAAGGAGCAGATCGAGGCCAGCCTGCTGGATCTGAAGCAAGAGGAAGAGAGACTCAGGGCTTCTGTTCTCGGACTTCGAACAGAGCAAGAAAGTCTCATCCGGCAAAAGACAAGGCTGACGGGCGATGTCTCGTCTCTCGAGACTGCACTGCATATTCGTCGGGACGAGCTTCACGACATGGAATCTCGCGCCGAGGGTCTGGAGCGCCGCATTCTGGAAGGTGTTATGGACCATTCCCGCGTACTCCTGATGTCAAAGGCAACCAAAGGGCGCGACGCTATGAGCCGTAAGCGTGTCCGGGACCAGAAGCCGGGTCAGGAGAATGGAGTCCCCGAGAAGCCTGCATCTCCTGCTGTCAACCTGGCCCTTTCCGCGAAACGAAACCTGAAGCCTCCGTCGCAAGCGGGCGCTGCTCGCCGTATCTTGTCCCTAAGCCAGATCACGAACAACGTACCAACCGGCGGAGTCCAGCGCAGCCAGAGCGTCAGGACTGCCGGTGCCCGTGGTCATCGCAAGTCTAGCTGGGCTGGGGGCTTCTCGAAGGGCTACGGAGATCTTGACAAGGAGAACATGTCTTTGAAGGAGACGGAGGAGGAGAACATGCCCAGTCCCACGCCTGTTATGCACGAAGAACCAGCTGGGGCCGATGATCCCAGTGATACCGAGACGTTACGTCGCAGTAGTCATGGCAGTCGTATGAGCCGTGGTAGCCGCGGTACAACTGTCGTGACGGAGAGTACCGACAATTACACCGGCGACGGAGACTATTCGGATTATTACGACGACAACCAAAGCGATTTGCAGAGTGACCTCCAGAGCGAGTGGACTGAGAGTGTCGTGAGTTCAAACGTCAGTTCTAATGTCAGTTCAGACGTTGGCTCCGACCTTAGTCAAGAAACTCTAAACAATGAGGTCGCGGCTTAGGATGACGAAGTTGGTGTCTATTGAAAAGTGGGGTTTTCACGTGGACATATTGACGAGTATTGAATAACGCATGAGCCTGCTGGGTCGGCGTCACTGGGATGAACGGTAGTTTGTATCAAAATGGAGTTATTGGGTTTCCTTTCTCTTTTGTCTTGCATTTGGTATTGCTGGTATGAGTCCAGTTGATGTTTAGTATTGTAGGTAGTGTGTTTGAAGTAGTAAAGTACAGAATTATCACCTCCCTACGACTGTGTGCCACATAAGGAACATGTTTTTGATGAGCCCCGATGGCTAGACGCGCCAAACACACGCGGCAATGATCATGTACAGGAGTGCGAATACAATTGTTGTTACAAAAGATACCATGTCCTCAGTCCCAGTCCCAGTCAGGACTGTGGAAAGTGTGTGTGTGTGCGTGTGTGTGTCTGCTATGAAACAGTCTTGCGAACAATCTTCTCCTTTCCATCCATCCACGGCTGCAGGCAAGCCGGAATGGAGACGGACATTTCTTGCTCATTCCATCCAGCTTCCAAGAGCGCAGCCAGCACTCTCGGGACGGCGAGAGCAGTACCGTTGACGGTCCAGGGGAAGGTAAGCTTGCCGTCAATCTTTGCCCGCGTGGCGAGCCTCCTCGTCTGGTAGTCGGTGCAGATGCTGGCGGACGTGACCTCGCCCCAGCCGTCGTTCTGCTCCTGGCGAGACGGGAAAAAGGCCTCAATGTCGCACTTGCGTACGGCGGAGGCGCCGAGGTCGGCGGTCGGCATCTCGAGGACTCGGCAGTGCAGGCCCAGGGACCCAAGGATCTCGGTCTGGATGTCGAGCATCTCCTCAAAGACGTCGACCGTCTCGTCGGCGTCGGGCGCGGTCCAGGCGAACATTTCGACCTTGGTGAACTCGTGGACGCGGTAAAGACCCTTTGTGCTCGCGCCGCGGGCCCCGGCCTCGGCGCGGTAGCAACGGGAGACGGCGACGCGTTTCGCGGGCAGCTCCGTGGCGTCGAGGGTCGTCTCGGCCTTCATGCCGGCCAGCGGGATCTCCGAGGTACCGGCGAGTGAGAGCTCTGGCTTGCCACGCTCGACGTCGGCGGCGGACTGCGCGAGGCTGTAGATTTGCTGCTCGCCGTTTTGGTCGCGCGGCTGGAAGCCGCAGGCGGCGGCGACGTGGCTGTAGACGACGCTGGGCGGTGCGACCTGGCGCCAGCCGTGCCGCGTGGCGACGGCGAGGGCGTACTGCACGAGGGCCTGCTCCAGCTGCGCGGCCTCGTCGAGGAGGTAGTACCAGCCCCAGCCCGAGACGGTGCCCGCGCCGGCGAAGTCGAGGAGGCCCAGCTCCGAGCCGATGTGGACATGAGACCGCCACACCTTGTCCGAGGCGCTGGGCGTCTCGTGGGGGTGCTCGTTGATGTAGCTCAGCAGCCGCGGCTCGTCGCCAACGGGGGTGACGTCGCTGGTGAGGTTGGGGATGGCGAGGGCGAGCCCTTCCATCTCCTCGACGAGCTTGACCTCGTCCTGCTCCACGGCCGCGAGCTTCTGCTTGAGCACGCGGGCTTCGTCCAGCAGCTCTTCGCGGGTCTTGCCCCGGATGTCGTTAAATTCTGCATTGTCGTCGCCGCTGGTGGACGCCGGATTGGCGATCTGGCGGCGCAACAGGTTCGACCTCTCGCGAACGGCGCGGCTATCCTTTTGCAGGGCCTGCCATTGCGTAAAGATTTCGTTGATGCGAGCGGGGCCCTTGCTCTGTTGGATGTAGTTGCGCTCGAGACAGTTTTGCTCGTGCAGTTCCGGGTTCTCTCTGATGTGTCTGATGTCGATGATGGGTTTTGGCGCGGTCGAGGGCCGTTTGACGTCTGCAAAGGCACGGCGTTGTTGGAGTGAGTGTGAGACCAGGTAATTTACTCTGTTGATGGTGCGCGGCGTGGGTAGTGAGGTGGGCAGGAGGCGCCTCCTTGCTGCCCCTAGTGAACTGCGCAAGAGGCCTGTTGGATCTCTCCCCATTTTGAAGTCTGGTAACTGAGAGGTTCAAATTCAATGTCTCTCTCTCTCTCAATGAGTATTCTGAGGGAGTGCGATGATCTGATTTGAAGGCGGCGTGATAACTGTATGAACCGCTTACAAGCATAACAGTAGGGGTTCCACTGGGCCATTCACCCAATTAAATGCATCTTCAGGTTCGCAACTTGCTACAATCGCGTCCACTCCAACGGAAAGACGAGCGTTGGACAGAGTATGGCTGTGTAGTCTGATTGTATATTCTTTTCTTCATATTTCGAAGGCCAGCAGGTCTCCGGGGTATCAATGCATTTTCACATGTCGGTAGGCAAATTTCTACACCCGCCTCGCTATAAAGTTCCCCATGCCCCCAATGTCCAGTTCGATTGACCTCCAGCTCCTCGCATCAGTCCACCGGGCCCCATGCTTTGCCGCTGCTGAGCCTTGACGTCGACTTCACTCGGCCGTGAAGCCCCGTTGACTCCTTGTTGCAGCCACAGCTCACGGTCAATGTTAGCCATCGCCATCACTTTGAGCTGGCACGCCAGGCTGGCCCCTCCCCACGGTCCAAGAGAACCCAGAGGCCGAAGGGCGCCTTGTATTCTAGGATAGTGACTATCTCGCTTCTTCAGGGAGTCCTCAATGACATCCGCTGCGCTTCTAGGCTCGTCTTCGCCCGTGACTCTACGTTCTTCCGTCTCCCTTGCTGGCGGCTCAATCTCTGTAGGGCCTTCGGTCGCCCGTCGGCTGCCTCTCTTCAGCAACGCGTTATTCTCGTACTGCTTTGGTGCACGCCCTTGGACGGGATCCCAACCACGCTCATGGACGAGTTTCGACAGCTCATCGAATATCCTCCGCTTCAAGCCTATGACTCTGGAGCAGCCGCCAATGAACACAATGCGTGACATGCACACTGCGCGAGCGTCGATCGGTAGTTGGACAAGGTGTTGGTAGATGAGGTGATGGACAGGGAGCTCGTCATCGTCGAAGCTACTACGTGAGTAGTGTGGCGCGAAGTAGGTGTTTTCGCACGGCTCGGACAGTTGTTGGAATGGTAATGTCAGGTTCTCCACTGGTTCCACAGACTGAATCAAAACCTCGATATTGCCATCGGACCGCTCTTCTTCAACGGGCGAAGTCGGTGGGGATTCGTCCTGCTCCTCGACCGTAGGCAGTGCCTCTCCTCCGGATTGCTGTTGCTCCGGCTGCCTAGCACTTGGGAGATCGCCGCGCTTGACTTGGCGACACCAGACGAGGCGGCAGGCGACTTCTTCGCATTCCTCAAAACTTAGAGAGTGCCGCCCTTGCTCCCTTTCCCGACATGTCCTCTGCGAGTGTGCTGATGATGTCGAAAGTGCATCTTGCAACAGGTTATGTGTCTCGTTAACCAGCATCTTTCCTGCGCGAGTAGTCCTTGTTGTACGGATCTCGCGGTATTCGTAGACACTCGTCACACTGGTCTCAGCCCAGCCAAGGTCCACAACCAGTGCTGACCGAGTGCCAGCTCCTACAACCGACGTGACTGCAGATGACATCAAAGACACAATGGGTGCCTGAAAGCGGTGGAAAAGGACATCGAGGGTGGTTGACAGCAATGGCAGAGGTATCGACGAGGACAGAACAAGAGAGGTTCTTCGCGGCCGTGAATCGATAAGAAGGAACCTAGACGACACGACATTAGTGAGTGGTGCGGTAATAGACTGTGTAGGCGGCGGGGATGCGTCACTTGTTCAGTGCTTCCCGAATGGCTCGGTCTATCTTGTCTTCAACAAGCCCCAAGTCAACGGTCCGTACATCATATTGCCAGAGCTCATGGTCGTCTCCCCAAGTCTTGCCGGTTGGACGCCGCCTCCAATCATCCTTGTGGTCTGGATCCCAGGTGCGAAAGTCGCCTACGCGGCGTAGTTGTTCAGGACCTAGGGACAGCACAGCCTTCGGTGCTGGCTCTCCCGCGAACCCAAGCTTAATGAATCGAGAGCCCAGCTCTATGACGATGATGTCTTCCTCAGCGCGGAGACTAGATGGGGAGCCGAATGTTGACGAGATGTTGCGAGAAGGGGTGTGTGGACTTGCAGGGCCGCCGCTGATGCCAGAGCCCGTTTCGGTTCGGATGTTGGCAATGGATCGGTGGGCGAGGCTCGGTGCTGCGGAGGACGACATCTTGTAGGAAGCAGGAGAGACGAGGAATATCCGTGGCGTTGAGAGCGCGTTCCGCTCAGGTTCAGCAGGCCATGCCCCCGCGTGTTCAGTTGTCAGATGTTGGCCTTCGTGGAACTGGAGACGCCTGCAGCGGAAAGCACGTCGGGTTGTTTGCCAATACTCCGGTGTGTCTTCGGGCGTTGTTTGCGCGCGATTGAGGAATTGGTTACAGTCCAAGTGTAACTTATGAGGATACCCCGTGATACTAGAGGCTCAAGGTAGAGAGCTCGCTGATTGAGCCTCTGAGGTAAGGTACCTACGGCCGAAAACGGGTCAAGCGCCGTGGAGCACTGTTGCTGGCGGTTTACCCTGAATAAAGTGGGGAACCGCTGGTACATGGAAGGTTGTGTAGATGTCATTGAGGTGGGTGGCACCGTCCGTAGTCCCGGTAACCACCTCTCTTAGGAGTGATTCAACGACCAACCTTCAATCAACATCTCTCATACCGAAAGGCGCCTATCTCTTGCCAGACAGATGGGGCACTGGACAAATTATTGGATACGATTTGTGTATGAGTTATTGAGCATAATGACTTGCGTCTAGCAGATCTTTGGCACGTTCGTGCACTCCAACCTCTAACCCTTCTCTTTCGAGCACAACAAGGTCGTCCTTTCTCGCTATCCGAATCGCAGACGCATCATCGACTTCATGCATTTCGCTCCCCCAATATCCATCCACTGCTTGGACAGAATTATACAACCACACTCAAACTCACAATCTAATACTTTGTCCCCCGCATTAACTTCTTGACTTGGTCTTCTTACAACTCGAGCCATTGGGAAATTACGATGGGAATCAAAGGGTATTTATCGCCAGCTCTGTCCTCTTCTTACCCTCATAGCGAGGTCTCACTCACATTACAACCACAGAATTTACCGTGAACTTGGTCCAGGCAAAAGAATATCTCTTGCCAAATTGGCTACAGAGAAACTTGAAAACACAAACCGGCCTTTACGGATTGCCATTGATATTGCCATCTGGCAATTCCAGACACAAGCCGCACGAGGTAGCGTCAACTCCGCGTCCAACTTGACCACTTCAAAGTTGACAAGCATCATTAGGTGGGACGAATCCTGCAATCAGGACTCTGTTCTATCGGTTGGTGAGACTACTAAGTCTTGGAATACACCCCATTTTTGTCTTTGATGGCCCTCACAAGCCGGCGTTCAAGCGCAATAAGCGCTCCGGTAAAGGAGATGGCGTTGCAATAGCCATGGCGAAGAGAGTCATACGTCTATTCGGATTCCCAGTCCATGACGCGCCGGGCGAGGCAGAAGCCGAATGCGCTCTCTTACAGCAACGGAACATCGTCGACGCAGTTTTAAGCGAGGATGTCGACACAATCATGTTTGGCTGCACCCGAAGTCTTCGAAACTGGTCAGCAGAGGGAACCCGCGGAGCCAAGACGCCCACTCACGTTAGCATGTACGAGGTCGACGATTTTTTGTCTGCTGAAACGGGTCTGGATCGAGAGGGTATGGTGTTGGTCGCACTGATGAGCGGAGGTGACTACATACCCGAAGGTGTACCAGGATGCGGTCCCAAGGTTGCATGTGAAGCGGCGAAAGCTGGGTTCGGCAAGTCGCTATGCCGCTTGAAGATCGAAGACGATGATCAATTTAACGATTGGAGGATGACGTTGCGACACGAACTGCGTACGAACGAGAACGGCTTCTTCAGAGTACGGCATAAAGCTCTCTCTATACCAGATGAGTTTCCAGATCGCCAAGTACTAAGGTATTATACGCACCCGGTCGTCTCAAGTGCCACCACTATCGACAGGCTGAAGGCGGGTCTCGATTGGAGTCGTCCAATAGATGTGCAAGGCCTCCGGTACTTTGCCGACGAGACGCTTGACTGGGTGAACAAACTCGGTGCCATTAAATTCACGCGAGTTCTGTCGCCGGCGTTACTCGTCCACAAATTACTGGAGAGGCACCTTTCCGACCAAGCAAGCTACCAGACGGCAGCGGAGATGGATAAGGAAGAATCGAAACTGATCAACCGTATCACTGGGATACGAAGCCATCACAGCACCGATGGTATTCCAGAGTTGCGTGTAGCACACATTCCGACCGATATAGTCGGTCTCGATTTTTCACAAGAAATTGACGAAGCCGACGAAGTGCCCTTTGATCGCCAGGGACTCGGGCTCAACAGCGACGAGGAGTTCGAAGCTGCCATCGACGGCGAGGGAGTGCCAGCGAGCAGCCAGGTCGTGCCAAAAAGCACATTCGACCCATATGCCGCCCAGATGATCTGGCTGCCCGAGTCGCTCGTCAAGCTGGGCGCGCCTCTGACTGTTGAAGATTGGGAAGAGAAACAGCGCGCTAAGGTTGCTAAGGCGTCTGCAAAGCCCAAGAGCACCAGCAGCAAGGGCGTTGGCAAGAGGAAGCCCACCAAAGCCGTCCCAGCCGAGGCCGGCGCTCTTGATAGGTGGATGCAAATCACGACAAGCACCACAAGGCAATCAGCAAAGACTGGTGGCGCAACATCGCAAGACCAAATAGACGACGAAGACGTCCTCCCACCACAACTTTCCCGACCAACTATTCTTAGGCCTGACCCAACAAAGGTTACGGCTGCGTTTCCGGCCTCCTCCTCCTCCTCCTTCTCCTCACAACGACCGAACCCCTTGCCGAGACCAACAAACCGAAGTAAGCAATCCAGGTCCAACGGGAAAGTGTCTGCCACCGCAGAACCAACCGCTCACAGTAACCCCTGGGCATACGCTGGCTCACAACATATGCCTAGGATCACCAAGCCTCGGCAGCCCGCAGAGCCGATTCTGTTGTCATCTAGCCCCGTGCGCGCTTCGCCTGCGTCTGCTTCTTCGTCGCTGAAAATCCCGCTGAGCCCGCTGAGCCCATCGAGCCCGCCTACTCAACCAACGCCTCAGCACATCATCATCGACCTGTCAGGTTCTGACGAGGATTCCTTCGTCGAACCCGAGCCCAATCCGCCTATCACGTCTACAGCAGCACCTCGTCGTCCTTCCCAAAGCCCCGGGAAACATCGGCCTTCGACAAGAGGTGCGTCCCCTGTACGGCTGCCCACCACTCCGTCAAAGAACCAGCGGGGTTTGAAGCAGACACGTATGGAATCCTTTGTGACCGGCGCCAACACGCGGCAAACGGCGGATCAAGAGACCAACCATGATAGGCGGCCAAAGAGTGTCCAGAGCGGTGCCCGCCTCAAAACGTCCATCACCGTCAGCCAGACTGCTATGGTCAAGCCCGCTGGATCAAAGGATGATGCTGGCGCTGACTTCCGTGGTTTTCGAACCACCAAAGTCACAGCCTCCTCCTGGTCAGAATCGGACGATGCGTTTGCGCCAAACCCCACAGCAAAAGCCGCCTCAGGGGAGGCCAGGAAAAAGGTCATGGTGCCACGGACAAGCGTCAGCGGATTTTTCCGGGTGGTTGAAGTGAGCGACGAGGATTGGTTAGCCGGAACGAAGGCGACGATGGCATCGGGGCGCTTGACAAAGGACGACGGATGGAGGCAGAGCGAAGTTTCCATTATAGACCTCACAGGAGACGACGAATAACGATACCCCCCTTGTACCACTCTGTACCACCACTATCAAGCGCATGCAAGTCTCATTCAAATAACGACAATAGATTATGTCTGAAATCTAGTGCTAAATGCCTCCCTGAATCCAGGCCTTCTTTGCAGTGTCGACGCACGACGCGGGTTTCGTCAATGGGTATCCCAGGCTTTATTCGTCAAATATTGCCAACTCAAAAAAACATAATCCAAAAATACGATCAAAATCCGCCAGTAAATTCGTTTATCATTAGTCGGAAGAATAACCAGTATACTTCATCGTCTCATTCTTCTGCAGCCGTAAAATGGACAAGCATTCGCGCCATCTTTTCCGTATCAATGCTCCCCATGCCAAGGAAGGTCACGATCCCCGACGGTTATGCAAGTGAGGTAGCCAATTCCATCGGCGGCCCTCCCGCTATTGATGTCCAGCTCTAGACCACTGCTCATCAACGGCCGGACAATGTCACGAGCCATCAGCTTCAGCTCGTCGATGCGCTTCTCAAAGCGCCGGAGATTGTCCCGGCTGTATAGCTCAGGTGTCAATTTCAAAAACCGCTTACACTCATCGTGGCCCAGATAAGCCGCTGAGGAGGCGCCGAGAGTGCGATATGTACGGCCGACCGTGGCCAACGGCGGAACAGCAGCAGGGAGGGCAAGTTGCTGGTTATTTCCATTCCTACCGTCGCGAGAGCTTTGGAGTCGACGGTCTGGGGGCGGAGGACTGGTATTATCTGCCAGCCACTGGCGGAACAGGCTAACGGCTAGCCAGTCGAGATAGTTGTTCTGAGGCGTGACACGCTCGCCTCTCGCTGTCATCAAGCTCAGTCGGAAGAGACGGCCTTCGACACGGCTGACCACCTCTTCTAGCTCGTCAACCTTGTCTTCGATTATGTCTAGAACGATGTCAGGAAGCGCAGCACGGAGGCTGCGTTCTCCTGCCGGCCATTGCCCGACCACATGAATCAAGGCCTCCTGGAAGATGACTCTACTGCGGGCAAGGTAACCAAGACGTAGGTATGAAATGGGATACTTGGCAATCTGCTTCCATAGTCGTGACTGAAATTGAAGCAAATGGTGGTCAACCCTGGGGCCAACCACGGCCAATGCATCATATAGGTCCGCCAAGGTAATGAGAGATTTGCATTGAACGTAAGCATCCGCAATATTGACGCCGTCGAGAATCGGGGAGTGATTGTAGAAGATGCGGAAGAGGTTGTCATAGTCGCGGAGGAGATCCTGGTCGGCCTGCGAAAGCGGGTGACTTGTCGCCGTCGTCGTCGAGCTCGGCACGAGGCTCAGATTGGCGACGGAGCGGAAGAAGTTGTGGTTCGAGTGCGCCGACGAGGAGTGGGAATGGCCCGATGTCTTGCTTCGCGAATAAGACACGGGCTGGTCGCCGTTGACCGCGCTGCCACCAGAACCAAACAGAGATCCAGAGTTGCTCGCGCTCAGACCCTTTGAGCGATCTTCATCATTTTGTACCAGCATTGGTATATCGCCATCCCCCGTGCCTGGATCCAATTCATAGCGCCAACGTTTCCTTGGTGGTGTAGATGATGTCGTCAAGGCCCGGCTGGGAGGCAGAGGATTGTACGAGTCGACTGAAGAGCCGTCGCTGATACGAGGCAAGTCGTTCGAAGCGCCATCCGAAACTGCTTTGGACCACTCAAGACTAGTGCTGGCCTCGAAGAAGCCGGAGCATTGCGTGAGGGTATGACGGTGCAGCAGGTAACGGTTTTGGTGGCCACCAGCCTTGACTATGATCTCGACATCGCCCGAATTGTTGAAGACAGGGAACTCATTCTGGGAGATATAGGATGAACCGCCGACGTGAGACCTATTGTATCGCTTCGTGCGAGATAGTGAAGGACGCGAAACGACCGAGGAGGGGCCTCGCAGGGTGAGGGAGGACGCGGAATCGGGCTGCGAGACCATGAAGAAGGCGTATCGACTCTATCGAGATCGAAGCTGCGAAGGTCGGAGGAGGGACTGACGGCCTACGGCGGCTCGGACATGGAGGACGCGCGCACTGGGGTCCCTGTAGGTGGACAAACAGTAAACAGAAATGCGACACAACGGGCGCGCAAGAAGCGCGCACAAGTGGCGGAGAGGCGTCGACCGAGAATATGAATCAAAGGTTGACCACTTCTCTGTGACGGTGAAGCTGGTTGACGGGCTTGGAGGTTTTGGGTGGTGACTCTGCGTTGATGAGCGCACAAGAGCAACACCGACGAAGGCGTACGGGACTGAGACAGAATCTAGCCGAGGCGCTGAGAACAATAGAGCTTCTAAGCGAAGAGCTACGAGACTGCTTGCACCAAGAAAAGGCAAAGAGGCGGAGGGCGGATGGGCGGCTGGGTTTGTTCGTGTCGCGATGCGCGGGGGAGGAGTGTGCGAGCGTGCGTGCGCCGGTGACAAGATGCAATAGCTGCGATGCGGGAGCTAGAAACGCAGTGTATGATGATGGAGCAAGGTAAAGGCGGTGCCAAGGATATCTACGCGGAGGCGAAGAGATTAGAGGAGAGACGCGAGTCTAGTCAAGTTGTATGGATAGATGTGTTGATTTGTTGCTGGTCGAATGGGGTCTTGGGCCGGCCGGTGAGGTAATCAGCACGAGGACGACCGAGATGGAGAAATCAAGAGGCAAGACGAGCAGGCAAGAGTCTGAGACCCTGGTGACTCGGGGGGGAAGGGGTCTTGACGCTATTCGGTACGGATAAGGTAGCGAGCACCCCGTGATGCGACTGCTGGCGACAAGACTGAAGACCGTACAGAAGATGTCAACGATGGGAGAAGAGCGAGCACCTGCACAGGCCCAACAAGTCCCGGTTCAGAGCCAGCAAAAGAAAACAGCTGTATCCGTACGCAGTATCTGTAGACGTGTGCCGGACGCGTAGAGCCAAAGAGTGAAGCGTAAACCGGGTTATTGCGACGGCGCCGGCGACGAGAAGTGGGACAGGGACAGGGTGAGCAGGCTCTGCGTTGTGCAGTTGCCAATAAGATGGCGAAGACAGGCGCAATGGGACTGGTTGCTCTGGGTCAACCTGGAAGTGGGAGACGAACTGGGAAGCGCTCAGGATATCATTTCTTAGAGGCAAAGAGGTTCTGAGGCACACATGAGTTTTAACCCACCACCCAACCAAATAATAGAGTACATTACTGTAAGGTAAGGAAAGCATGTAAAGTCGGGATGATGGGTGCCAGTTGACAGGTAAAGGTTGAGTCAATTGCCAACCAACGTACCAATGAGCGGGAAGCGACAATCAGCCTTGATACTTGTAAAGAAAGGAAAAGAAGGAATCTTTCCCAGGTTTTCCCAGCTATCCCAGCAGTGTGCCTGTCTTCATAGGACGACGATGGATTAAAAGTTGCCTCCGTGCCTCCCCTCCGAGCTTGCGCTCGCCGATAGTGGGTGCAGACCACTCGCCTCCTTTCATCGTTGCCCAACCATAGGTTGCTTGAATACCCTCATGAGGCGAGGAGATGCAGGGGGCATCATCGTGCATGCTGGCAAGGCAGACTTCGCAGACTCGTCCACTGGCACTGGCAGACGGGGGCCAACTTCCGCGCTTCTCCCACATGCACCTCACCTTGGCCACCCCTGGCTGCCAGGTCACGACATTTCAATCTTTCCTTTGCTTCTACCTATGCTCGCAGTGGCAGGCTCGCAACAGCTTGCGAAACGTGTTCGGCCAATGAAAGATCAGGTGGAAGAAAAGCCAGAACGTGACTAGATGTGGGGAGAAGAGGTCCGACCTTAGGTCGTCACGTGAAAACGAACGGGAATCATCCTGGATTCCATGCCTGAGCTGTTCTTCCTTCCTTCCAGTCCCGCTCCTGCCAGCCAGCCTCCGGATTTTGGCGGCTCGTCGGGAGTCTATAGTCAAGGGTTCGTGATTGGCTACGACCTTGGCAATAGCCGGGTACCCCGAACCACAGTTGAGCTTGCCTGTCGATCAAAGTATTCCGTCATCTCCTCCTCCCGCTCAGTCGCATCAACCCTTTCATTGGCCACATTCGCCTGATCACTACCCCATCGGTCCACCCAGAAATTGCTCCATATTTTCTCACTTCGAGACACCAATGGAAAGTCACGGCCTGTGGCCAATGGAACGACTTCAATCTATGTTGCACCGTTGCCCGCTCCTCGCAAACCTCCGTGCGGCCCTCACAGTGTTACGCAATGGAACTTAGGAGGCAGTGAGCAGCAGCTTGACGGGCGCCGAGCGAGCGACAAGGTACCTAGCTGCTGCTGAGGTGCTGGAGGTTCCCCGGGCATCCAATGGTACCCACCACCAGCCCCATTCAACCAGTCAGCGTTCATCACTCAAATCCTCGAATCCTGAGGTGTGCTTCACTCATCACTCTGCCGACCCCATTTCTGTTCTGGTGCGCTCTGCAACCTGCTGGAACTTACCGCTCTTCCACCCGTGACCCTCGTTGGACTCGTGAGTCGTGACCCCTTTCTGAGTGCCTACCTATGCCAGTGCAGTATGCCCAGGGTCTCACTCATAATGTCCGTATCGAGCTGAGTCTCGTGCCCCAGCCGACAGCCAACATCGCTTCGCTTTCCGCCTATTGGCACTCGCTGTGGGCTCCACTGGCGCTGACTGTCCGTCCTGTCACACAAGACGACGGATTTGGCACTTACACCCACATACCTGTCCGTCGTATCATCGCAGACTAAGGTAAGTTAGCAGGCCCGTCCACCTTGTCTCGTCTTATCCAAGGCCACTCGCTCCAAGACTCTTGACTCGGGTTTGCATCGGCCATCGAGCGCTATCAAGGTTTTCCTGTCTTGCAAACGGTCTTGGACACCTCGGCAACGCAGCAAACCGCGTTCCGAGAAAAGGCACACCGCACCTTGGCTCAATCGATCTGAACACTTTGGGGTGAAAACCATGCTTTAACCGCCAAACACCGGACAAAATATACTCTAGGTGAGGACGATGGGCTCTAGACGTTAAATTTGCGAGCAAATGCCACATTGATTGAAGT